GTAACATAATATTATAAATAAAATATTAAGTTACAACTTAACAAGCACATTTCTACACTCTTAATCTATTCCATTGTCTTTGATGTTATTGCTTGAATAATCCACTCAAATCGGATTTATAGTTTGTCCTTCGCGCCACATTTACACACTGTACTATCTTTTTAAGTATCCATTTGTGCATTATATATCCATATCGACCCGTAGTCGATTTAGTACAGACAAATCGTGCCTAGGCAGTTCTATTTCTTAAACTCCTTGGCTGTGGTCCACAACTAGGGTTTTGTTTACCATAGAAAAGTTGATCCATTCATCATGTCATTCTGTAACCGATTAAGTCCCGTTTTCGTAATTTTTTTAGTATGGATACCCAATTGTATCTTCCTTTTATTTAAAGTCTGTGTACGGGTGCGTCCTCTAACGTTTTCCAGAATAGATACTTATAAATTATAAATATACCTACTACCTAATATAATAATGTATAATTCTATAGTATTTTGTTAAAAAATTTTTATATACTTACCGTTTTATAAAAATAAATAATAATTTGATCGCGGAAATAACTAATATTGCTACTATACAATAATATGGTCATACCTAGTTAAGATTCTGAGCGGACCGAGGGCATATTTAATATTATATATTCTCGGAAATTACTGTTTCGGGTAGACGGAGTTCTTGTTAGTTGCAAACTTTCATAAAGTCTTCTACAAAAATTGGATATTGGACTAGTTAGTATCTAATTTTGAAAGGAATCTTTTACAAATTATCAGGGGCTGTTTAAAGAATTACAATCAATTATTGAAAACTATGAAATTAGAATTTACAAGTAGAATCAATTAATTAATTTTCTTCAATCAATTTTGGTGATTTAATCGTAATGTTGACTGTTTATGCGAACTACCTTCAAAATGTGTTACCATACGAGTATATGACACAGCATCAATATTAATTATTAAAAATACGTAAGTTGTAGTTGCTTAAAGTAAACGTAATAAATAATTAGCTATTTATATTGTATATACCTAATAAATCGACTAGTTAGAGGTCAACTAGAAATAAATAGTTAAATTTAAATAATACACAATAATTAATAATTATAAAACTAAAAACAGTTGGATAAGACGAAGCCTGTTGTTAGACATCATAGTTTTCGTTTCGCTTAAAATGGGTAGCAGTGTCAGCTTGTTATTATTACGATTTTGAAAGGTATGGATAATTTATAACACGTTCGAAAAATGAATCTGAATTCATCACGATTTACTTATTTTAGTGTTCATTTCATAGGCCTATAAAGAAATCATAGATCTTCTTTATAGGTCTATGGTTCAAATCTTTAAACGATTTAAAATCACTTCAATAGCCGTTCTCTATTTTGTGTATAACAACACTGTCAACACTATACATACTATGATACTATATTACAACAATATCTTTGATGTCTTGGAATAAATAATACATTTCTACATTTGTTAAACAATAATTATAAAAGAAAAATACATACTATGATACTATATTACAACAATATCTTTGATGTCTTGGAATAAATAATACATTTCTACATTTGTTAAACAATAATTAGAAAAGAAAAATACATTTTTTGACAAAAACAAATATTTTTAGTAGGCAATTATAAATTATAATAATACAAAATGAAAATTACATAAATAATTTAATAATGCTAAACGTATACAAATCGTACTATCTAAATGCTATTCACAGTTTTTTTTTTCGTTTAACAGTAGGTACTTAATTATATCTTGCTCGATTGAAAAATGTTGTATTTCGCTTTTGCATCCATAGTTTGTTGGCTTGTTGCAATATTTTATTTTCGTTGATGCCAATAATGAAAATCCAGTTTTTCGTTCGATAACTTTTTTTATGATATGTTTTTAGATTTCCCTGTGACATGTGCACCCTATCGATAACGATTAATTTGTCTGTTATCACTTGTCATAACTCATAAGGTACTCATTACATAATAATATACGTATAGATATTAGGTACTATAATTACTTAGTAATATGTTAACGGGAGAGCACAAGCCTTTAGCCTAGAATTTTGTCATGTTACATTGAGTTTAACAAAATGTTCATTGTTTTATATTTAAATTAAACTTCACTTGAACCCCTGACAAAATTTCCGTGTTGCACAAATGCCCCGGTTACAATTCCAGGAGCACAATTTAACACTAGTTTACACCATTGATTATGATTATAGTATAAAGTGGTATATGGTGGTATACATATAAGTATATGGTGGTTGGCAGTGTTGTAAAAAATACTCTTTGAAAGTATTTAAGTAATTACTCAAATATTCTTAAAATAAAGTATTTAAAATACCACCCAAATACTATAAATAGTAAAGGATTTTAAAATAATCTTCAAATACAAAAAAAAAATATTTTTACTTTTTAGTGCTGAAATAATTTTTAATAATCAAAAATTTGTTTATTGCATTTTAAAAACATGATTTGTTCAATAATCAAAATTCTGATCAGTCATGTTAGTTGCACCACAACAATGAACTTTTCTCTACAAAGTTATATAGTAATTCAAAACTATAATATTATGTATTTGGATATCTCATACCGCCGTCGAAGATAAACAATAATGATAATTATTGATAAAAATTATCTTGGTAAATAGGTAGTAGGTACTAGTAATTACCTAGTAATAATATTTTCGTATAGTTAAATAATTATAAAGTATATTAGTAATATTTATAAAGTATAATAGCCGATAAGTAGACGCTTTTTACATATTATATATTTTGTTATTGACTTAAGCTAGTTATATAGTGATACCGACTACAGATATATCTTTTCGATCTTCATCGACAATAAACTGTCTCCTGGAGAAAAAAAAACGTTTAATCGACAAAAACCGATACCAAATTGTCTGTGTGTGTTTTTATTTAACAAAAATAATTATAAGTAGAAACAAATTAAGAATTAAAAGAATAAAAAATAAGTATTCAATAAAATAGTATTTAATAGTAAAAAAAAGTATTTCAAATACCATTCAAATACTTCAAAATAAAAAGTATTCAATACGGAAAAAAGTATTTGAATACTTTTACTCAAATACTTTACAACACTGGTGGTTGGTTTAAACCGGACTTCATTTAATATGGTTTTAAAAATGATCCATTTGTAATAATACAAATCTAATGGACGAAATCGATGTGATCATTGCAAAACTTATGTACAGCGCCTACCACACTACTTTACCTACAGTTCATGGGGACGAGATATAGTGATTGAGCGAGTGAGAAAACACTGTAACATCCCAAACTCATAGTTCTTTCTCGGCTATCTCGTCCGCTGGTTTCTCTCTCTAACCGTTGTCTATTAGTCTATTGGTCCATGTATCATTGAAACGTTAAACGTTTTCCTCTGGAGACTGGAACAAATTACAATACCTGATACTTCGTTAGTAAACAAATATTGCTCTATCTTGTTCTTAATTTAACATTTGAAGGACTACACTAAACACTTATTTCAATTAAATTTAGGCAACACTGTAGACTGTAAGGTACTCTACATCGATTATCGGGATATTTCTTGCATATATTAGTATCGTTATGAAATGTGTACTTATATCTGACATGTGAGGTGTAATGTGTATGAAATAAAAATAGAATATTGCATCAAGACATTATGTATGGGTGTATGTAACAAGTTTTTCAGTGAACTGTTTACAAAAACCATGATTTTGAGAACTCATCTGTAAAAATAAGATTTGGATTTTAGTTAACCAACCATGTTTCCTCCGTTCTCGTTCTTTTTTTGTAAACATGTAATATTTTATGCCATTATCATTTTTTATCACACCCGAAAAACACTCACTATAGTCCAAACGTCTTAGTACAACGGTAGTAAGTACAAGTTGGACGTATTTTGCGGTAGAACTTGATACTGGATGAGTGTACGATGGTCATAGGGCATAGCCCATAACAATTGATATTCAGATTTTATGTCTATTATAGTTTTAAACTTTTAAATTAATTTTTATTTTACCTAAAAGTTAAAAAAATGATGTTTCTTGTAATGTATAGCTTTTTCCGTAAATAAAGAAATAATAATAATGATGTATTCTTATATTTTAAGAAGATGTCTCACCCTCAAGAGACACCACCTTACAAGTGGATAGCAAACCAAATTAACGTGTAACAGCTCTAATTTAGCTTAATTAGTTTTAATATTATAGTGAATTTAACTATTATTAAACTTGAAGATAAAAATATACTCAGTGGTTTGTTGGAAATGTTAATTCGATATTTTAATTTGAAAACGATTTAGAAGCGTAATGTGTAAAGTATTACAGTTTAAAAATGCTCATAACTCGCTCCAAAATTAAATATTGAAAAAACACTCCCAAGAATATATTGTTACCTTTCAGTTTAATAATAGATAAATCCATTCCATTTTAAAACTAATTATTGATGCTAAATGATAAATACTGAATGTAAATTTGCATTATATCATACACAAAGCATGCAAGTGAGACATTCTCAACAGTCCCTAAAAGGATTAAATAACAAGCAAATAGTATTTAAATTAGAATTAAGATTAAAAATAATCTTATCACTGAATATTTAAAATAATCGCTACAAGTTGTACTAAACTTGTTTCTTTTTTAGTTTACTTGGTCCATGTATTTTATTTACGAAAAATATTTCTTTGTGTGCAATGTAAATTCAATTCAGTAGTATTGGTTGTAATTTCCATATTTTTATTAGGAATATAAAACAGGTTTCGGTGTTATGTTTATTTAACCTTGAATTTAATCAAACTATTTTTTTAATTATGTTTTTAGTATTCAGATATCAAGTTTAATTGTTTCTATAAATAATTTTACAAAAATATAAAAAAAAGTAATATTGTAGTTTAATAGGTACCATTATTTAAAAATCCTATAATATTATATTAAAAATAAAAAAACAATCATTAATTGTACAATTTTTACAAATATAACAATACAAATATTTTTTATTTACAGTGTGTGAAAGCATATGTGGAATTTGAAATCAACCAAGGTGCATACAATATATCTTGTCCAGATGCTCAATGTCCGAAGCTGGGCATAATCCAGTTAGAAGAAATAGAAGCATTGGTCAGCATTGATGAAATTGAAAAACATCAAAGATACAGGCTTAATAAGGGTAAATCAAAATTATAAATTTACAAAATATAACAATTAATTGTAATTATCAATTATGTAGTTTATTAAAACTCCAATGACATGCATTTAAAGACTTGATGGACTATGCAGTATAGCAAAGCTACAACACTATGTGTCTCTTTTTATACTTTATCATATTCAGTGGCACATATAGGGTGGAGGAGAGCTTAGTGCTTTTTTAGGCCCTCTCCCCCCAAAAAATAAAAAATCATCCCTTATTGATTTAGATATAATTCTCTTATGGGTTATTTTAAATAAATAGTTTTGTAAGGTGCGCAGTGCCCCCCCCCCCAGAATTGTTACCCTAGTTGCGCCTATGATCATAATATTTACCTTCTATCAAATAATTTCATTGACATAAAATAGTAAATACATAAATATTTTTAATTAAATGAAAACAATTGTCAATAGGTATACTAAATAATATCATAAGTAGATCTTAGGCAGATAATACTATTAAATGATCATAACAATTAGTATAAAAAACATTTTTTTTCAATACATGACAGGCAACAGCATGTTATAAAATTGTACTTTAAAAAAAATATGTATTTTTATTTTTATGAAATGTTTAAGGTTTTTTACAACTTTACATTGCAATTAACATTTAACTGTATGATTAAGTATAGCTAGTAAGAAGTAATTTTAAATCAGTCATAATTTTTGTATTTAGAGTTTCTTTTGTGTTACATAGGTAAATTTTAAATTAAAAAAATTATCAAAAAAAAAAATAATGTAAAAATTATTAATATTGTGTAAAACCACATTACAAGTGAGTATTCCTTCCTATGTTTTTTTATGCACTCAACTACATTATCAAACAACTTAATTTAAATAGTGAGTATAGTCTTAATTCTAATGATCGATCAGATAGAAAAACTATAATTGATTATTCTTTGTTTGATTTACATTGTGATAGTATTTTATAAACCTTGAACACAATTAATTCATCCTAGGATGATAGAATTTTTATAAATATACAAAATAACCTAAAAAATTAATTTTAGTGTAATATTATTATTCATTAGTTATTACACTTAGCCCTTAGGGCCCATATTACAATAGTTGAACTCCAAGTAAACCACCGCATTCGGCCGGTAAAATCAGTGGTTCAAGTTTAACCGAGGTTTAAACTATGATTGTTCAACAGGCCCTAAATAATATCTACAAGTCACAATTCATTTTAATCCAGCCAGGCTTATCACCACTTACCAATTTTCATAATTTTTTTTTACTTTAAACCTAAAAATAAAAATTGTTGTATTAAGAACTTCTAATTAAAATACTAAGATATTATAGCATTGTGTGCAGTATGTCCCACCTTAAATAAAGGCACTATAAGATAACTAGTTGGCTATCATAGAAAATCATAATTCAATCCAAGGTAATTGTACTAAGATATTTAGTGGATAGTGGTACATATAAGATGGAAAATATATTTGGTGATACACATTTCTTTAATGTTAGTATTACATATGGTTGTTGTTGTATATTTGAGTGTAATCTTCGTGTTGATTAAATTACTACTTACAATTATTTATACTCTATAACAATATACATAAGTCTTTTTTAAATTAAATCATTTTTTTTATATACTATTCCATGTGTATGCAATATGCATAGTGCCGGTCTAATAATTTAAAAAACGGTTGTTTTTGAATTTACCTTTGAAATTAAAATATTTTTCTTTGTTATTTCCGATTGGAAACTCACTCTTTATTTGAAATTTTTGTTTTTAATATTCGATTAGAATAAAGCTTTTAATGAACATATTATGTAATACCTATATATTTAGTATATTGTTGTTGTTATTTTTAATTTAATTAATTTAGGCTTCAAAGTTACAGTGTAGATGCTATATTATTTATAAGTTGGTTAATTTAATGTTAATACCTATTTCATCATGTTTATCCTTGTTGACAACTTATATTAATTGATATTTTTGAAAATTATTACTTTAGTAATGGCCAACGACTAATGAGCTACTTCCATTATAATTTTTTGAATTACAGAATCTTAAAATAAAACAATTTTAATTTGTATTTTTTGATTTTATTTAAATACTACACCAGTAAATTAAATTTTATGATAAAATGGGTCTATTTAAAAATTCTGTTGAAATATTGTTCAATGTCTTATTTTCAATTTTTAATTTTAATCATTTTTTTTATTTTTTTTTTTTTACAGAAGTGGAACTGGATAAAAGTCGTATGTGGTGTCCAAAACCAGGATGTGAAACTGTTTGCGATGTTGGTGATCGCTCTCGACCACATAGTGTAATATGCCCTACCTGTCAAACCGAATTTTGTTCTGGATGTCGAGCAACATGGCATCCTGGAAAACCATGCCCTCCTCCAACTACTAATGACATGCCTACATTTGATTCAGATTTAATTAAATGTTGTCCCATGTGTAGTGTACCCATTGAAAAGGACGAAGGCTGTGCTCAAATGTTATGTAAAAGATGTAAACATGTCTTTTGTTGGTATTGTCTTGCTTCTTTAGATGTAAGTTGAGTAATTATATGCAATATACATCAACATTATTTTTATTTCAACACATTTTCAACTATTCAAATATTATGTTTTGATGTTTCAGGATGATTTTCTTTTAAGACATTATGACAAAGGTCCTTGTAAAAATAAATTGGGTCATTCGAGAGCTTCCGTGATATGGCATCGTACCCAAGTGATTGGTATATTTGCGGGTTTTGGTATACTGCTACTTGTTGCTAGTCCATTGTTATTACTAGCTGCTCCATGTATAGTTTGTTGTAAATGTCGGGTATGCACTAGTGGATCAAAATTAGATGATCCTGATGATGATATAATGGATGAACCAAATTGATCCAGTTGTTAAGTATGCATAATCAAATATGAAATAACTGAATTTTGTTTTTGTATTAAATCATATGGATTGATTAATAAATAATCATGCAATAATTGTTCATTAACAATATGCCACCTAGTCATCAAGTTTATTTACAGTGTAAAGCATTAGTTATATTAATGTCTTTATTATCTATTTTATAACACAGAGAAATTCACTTTACTAGTATGACTCTAAAAATGTATTATTATAAAATATTAAGTATTTTTATTTGTCTTTTCACTTCCTTATTTGTGTTTAAAAGTTATATACATATATATAATTTCTAAATAAAAAAAAACAATTTGTAGACAATCTAATAATATATACACCCATAAATATAACTAAATATATTGTGAACCCTAAAATTTGACATTCATGCTGTTTGACATTTATAAAAAATTTTTTAACTAATATTAGATGTTTATTTTCTCTTGTAAAAATTTGAATACCTATGTATTTTACTTCCTATTTTAAATTGACACATTTTGTATTTTAATTGTTTAAAAAAAATATTATCTAATAATATATTATATTTTATAATCAATTAAAACCAGCCAAAATAATTTCAGTTATTTAGTTTATAAATTATAACTATTTTCAAAACCAACATTTTAGGTTGAATTTTAATTCAATGACAACAAATAAATTATCAATATTTTTAATTAATTGTTGAAAATTCTTTTATTGATAGTTGATAGTTGATACTTACTAAAGTGTATTATACATTTTATTAACTTAAAATTGAATTCTTAATAAATTGTTATCTTATTTAGAAAAATCACATTTATAAATCACTAATATTAGCTTTATTGAAAACATGTTTAAATAATGCTATAAAAACCACTGATTTGTTATTGTAAAATTATGTTATTTAAATATAGATATTTTTTAATATGGTAATTATTAACTAGTTATGAAGAAAATACAAATCTATAAACCTAATTATTGCAAGATTATAGCTAATTTATTAAAATGTATATCATATAAACAAATATTTGAAACATTTATAATAAAATTGGACAATTTTAACTTAAAGAGAACAAACAAAACATTTGTAAAATATTATTTGTTTGCATTTATTCAGTTTTTTGGTCGAAATTTTATTCATTTTGTATTATAATCAATAACTAATAATATTTGAGCTATTATGTAGACTTATGAACACCACATTTTAGTTCATATTGAATACCTTCTATACTTGTCAAAAAAACAATTTGAAATATTCTATCACCCATAGTAGCTACTAGCTTAGTATATTTCTTTGTTCGTACTAATTTATAACTATTAAGAAAATAAAAAATTTCTATCGTTGTAATCTTAATTAATTGAGTAAATATTTGTAAATCATAAGTTTATGTATTTTTTTTTTTCTAGAAGAAAACTTAAATTTCATTCCATTGTTAATGCCAGTGATCAGAAATATTTTAAAATGTATTCTACTCTTGTGTATTTAATTTTTACAATATTCTATACTCTAATTACTTTTTCAATGTAACCACGATTTTTGACCAATTAAATTGTTTTTTTATATTGATCTCTTATGTAATATAATAAACAATATTACCCAAATTATTGGATCATTGTAGTTAATTTAATTTTTGTATGTATGTAAAATATGTATGTTACATTCTATATAATTGTTAGATCTAATTATAATATATTATGTGATTAGTTAATGTTATTATATACATACTTAATACTTATGTATATTGTTTAGATTAATTTGTTTCCGTTTTAACGCTGTGATAATATTTAAAAAAATATATATTTATGTATAAATAAATATATTATATTGAAACACATACCTGTCAACTGTGTGATAATCACAAAAAATGCTGTCTTTAAATTTGCATTATTAAAATATTGTGCTTCTAAAAAAATGTTATTATTATTATATTATTTGTTTAAAAATATATGTTAATTTTTTAGACTTAAAATTACAATTGTTATAAAATGGTAACTTGCGCTACAAACTATGAACTATAAAATAAATGTATGTATTGTTACTACTTATAGAAATTCCCTAGGGGTGGACTCATGGTGCAGAATGTTATTACTACTTTTGTTTTATTTATAATTATCGCTATATGTCTATAATTAATAGGCATCATGCAATAGTATTGTGAGTAAATAAAGTGTATGTTGGAAGCTAAATTTACTAACTTTGCATCAAAGTTTCTATTTTATTGTTACAGCCGATAGGTTACAAATAATTTTAATAATCAAACTTTACTAAAAGTTAAAAGTTAATTTTATATTTACAAAGCGATCTCTTTAAAAGAAATAGATCATGGTGAATTAGTCACAAACAATTAATTGCTGGTACAATTAGTCACTGGGATATTAAAAACTATTTTAAAATATTTTAGTTCTTATTTTAATCTATGTTTCATATACCTACAAAAAATTATTTAAAATATACGATGATATTTATATTATACATTTATATTGTTAAAAACAATATTTAAATTAAAAAAAGTTGGTCTGCTGTACAGTAAGTGTCGAGTGGAACTTATCATTGAGAAAAATGTATATATATTGTATACATGATAAAAAGGTGCTCTGCTGTACAGTAGGTTACAAGTGGGTCACTGTTTAATGGATGGTATTAATTTTGAATTCAATGATATAATATCATTGTATAAAAAAAAAGATTCTGAGCGGAGACGGTATGTCAGTCTAGGTATAAGACATATTATATACTTATCTATGATATTAAAAAAATTGACCTATAATAGGTATCTATAATAAATTCCAAATTAATCATATCACAATATCCATTATTTACTTTTAACGCGTTATACATCAACAACAAACCCTTATACTATCATAGATATATAATAGTGTAATTTAAAAGTTTCAAGTACCCACGAATAATATTATACAATCACAACAAAATAACTAAAATAGTTATTCTAGGTATTTTAATATGTAATTTCGTCCAAATTTGAACTTAAAATTACTATAAAAATAAACTGTCCTTCTGTACTTTTTAGATTTTTTGGTAACAGAATTAGCTACTTACGTGAAATCTTTTAATACATTTTCAATCCTTAGATACAAAAGTTGAACATTTTATAAATTTTTAACTACTAAATAATTATTCAATTTTAAATTTGATAAATGTTGTCAAAATTCGATCTTTAAATGCTTAGAAAAAAAATTGTGAGTATGTATTTTTAATATTTTTCAACTGATATTGTAACAATATATCAGAAGCCTTGTATAAAATTTTTTCACTTTTTGGCCCAACAGATAAAACTTTATTGATATTTATAGAAAAAAAACTAAAAAAATTGAGAACTGAAAATGTCCGTCAACAGCTCAAAAAGAATCAAAATATTTTCAAAATTGTATAGTGTATAGGAAATGCTAATATTAACATTCAGTGAAATTGTCATGTATCTACAGTCGTTCGTTTTGAAATTACAACAAAATAAGGAAATCGCTACACGAGAAATCGAGTGAATAATATCCAATGTTGTGAAAATTTGAATTTCAAACGCTTTTAAAAATTTAATTTGACTTTCTTATGGACATTTTTTTTTTGATAATGGTAAATAATCTTATAAGGCATCTTGTATTACATTTTAAAACCTTAGATTTAAAAAAAAAATTTTTACGAATTCTTAACTCAAAATTTTTTGCTAATTTTCGTGATTTTTCCATATTTTGTCAATTTTTGAACTTTAAATTCTAATAAAAAAAAAACTGTGACTAAGGATTTTTAATATTTTTCATCTGCCTTTGAAGCAATATACTAGGAGCCTTCTTTCAAATTTTCAAGCTTTTTCAGCCGACAAATAAAATTTTATTGATATCTTTAGAAAAAAAACTAAAAAAAAATGGAAAATGAAAATGTCCCTAAACAGTTTAAAATAAATGAAAATATTTTGAAAATGTTATCGTGTATAGAAAATGAAAAAATAAACAACCAGTGAAAATTTCATCTATCTACGATCATTTATATTAGAATTACACCAAAAACCAAATTCAATTTTGTGAAAAATCGATTTTGCGTAAAAATTCCCGTTTTTCCTTAATTTTTCTTTTGTTTTTCTTGGTGCTTTTGGAAATTACTGGGAATTTTCAATTTTGACCTCCTCGATGCACCAACGATATTCACTTTCCAATCGAATAAGGTACTGAAGTTGAAAATCGAAGCATTATTTCGACTACTTATAGTGTATACAGACAAAATAAAAAAACACACATCATTGTAAAATCAATAAATTCATCGTTCCACTCAGAATCTAAAACGATTTTGAGTAAAGACAGTCCAACTTTTTGGTAACCAAGGTTGGTAACAATTTTTTAAATATAATATGAATGTTCGTATATTTTTTTGATAATTAACTACTATTTAAAAAAGTACTGAACATTTTTAATTTTGATCTCCCAAAGATACAAACTTGGTCTAATTTGCTACCAGAAAAATTGTCTTCAAACACAAAAATAAATACATAAAAAAACATTCATGATTCATCATTATAATATTTACATCAATACAACCTTCATTTCACTTAGAATCTAAAAATATAAGTTGTATATTAGTAAAGTTAAAGTTTTTAATTATTAAATATACCTATTATAATTTATAATAAAATAACCAAGAAACTAATAACTTTTGTTTGGCGATTAATTATTATGACGTCCAGTAGGCAATGTACCCACGATCAATTCACCGAATACCAAAATGGAGTACTAGAAGATATTATAGGTAATAATTTATCTGTCATCTAATATTCACGTCATAAATAAATTATTAGGAGTAACAGCTATTATATTATAGTATCAGTATTTAGGTATATTATAATATATTATATTATTATGATGTTATAGATTTAACATTTAAAGAATTTGTAATATGACTAATCAAAATCAAAAAATAATAATGTATATGATCAACAGACGGCCATCAAGTAAAAAAAGGTGGGCAAGTGGGTGTCGCTCTGATGTACAGAAGGTTACAAGTG